AAAAGCAGTGTTAAGTCGCTGGGGTATATTTGTAGCAATAGCCAACAATACACTGTATGGGTCAAAATTATAGATTTTTCTTTTATGCCAAAAATCATTAGGATATTAAGTAAAGATCATGTTAATTTAGATATTTTGTAAATTTCCTACCGTAAATATATCAAAACTTAATTTTTGATTAGTAATATGCATTGCTAAGAACTTCATTTGGACAACTTTAAAGATGATTTTCTCAATATTTAGATTTTTTTGCACCCTCAGATTCCAGATTTTCAAATGATTTCAGATGATGTATAAATCTCAATTTTGAAAAATTGACCCTTATGACTGGTTTTGTGGTCCAGGGTTACATATATTGTATCTTTCAGTTCATGTTTATTATATTTCAGCTGATGAGAATGTTATTTTATGGTTGTGTGTGTGTGTTGTGTCCAGACTCGTGTCAGCCGCTGAAGGTGTCGTGTCTGCAGGGAAAGCCGTCTCCTCCTCTGCCTCCTAAGAAGCTGATGCTGTACTCGTCCTCGGCCACACCGCTCTCGTTCTCTCAGTACAGTCACCCGTCGAACCGTATCATCGACGAGCTGCAGAAGGCGCTGGCGCTCGCCATGCAGAGACTCGACAGGTGCGTCTCATCTAATAATCCATCAAACCATTAGAATGCATCATGCAAAGATCACAGCATCTGCATGCTGTGCACGGAAAACACCTGCTGCTCTCATCACTGTACAGCAGTATATCTTGAGTTTCTATGAACAAAGCACATATGAAATGTGACCCTGCAGCACAAAAGCAGTCTTAAGTCGCTGGGGTATATTTGTAGCAATAGCCAACAATACATTGTATGGGTCAAAATTATACATTTTTCTTTTATGCCAAAAATCATTAGGATATTAAGTAAAGATCATGTTAATTTAGATATTTTGTAAATTTCCTACCGTAAATATATCAAAACTTAATTTTTGATTAGTAATATGCATTGCTAAGAACTTCATTTGGACAACTTTAAAGATGATTTTCTCAATATTTAGATTTTTTTTTGCACCCTCAGATTTTAGATTTTCAAATAGTTGTATCTCAGCCAAATATTGTCCTATCCTAACAAACCATACATCAATGGAAAGATTATTTATTCAGCTTGCAGATGATGTATAAATCTCAATTTCGAAAAATTGACCCTTATGACTGGTTTTGTGGTCCAGGGTCACATATAGCAGAGGACACAGAGTAGCTGCTGCAGGAAAAGTGACCTAAACGTGAGAAGGCTTCAAACTAACTGATAAGCATACAGTTCAGTGCAGCTTGTCCTGTCAGATACATGTGCTGTTTAAAGCACCCAGGCGAGTCCTGATAGCTTCACAGACTTCACTGAATGACTGCATGCGCATCAAACACAGACAACTATAGAAGAAAGTGCAATAATTCACATTTTTTAAATGCAACAATTCTAATTTTGAATGTAGGTTTAAAATTCTACATATAACGCAAGTAATTGTATTTTTAAGGGAATGGTAAGAGTAAAGAGAGTTAATGGATAAATATAAATGTAATATAACTACTTTTCAGATGTGTGCGTGTTTTATTCTCATTTCTAATTTAGTGATTTTAATTTTTGGTGTAAAATGGTAAGCAAACAGTTGTTTTTGTTTTAAAATGTGATGTTTATATTTAACCTTTTTTTATATATTGTATAGCATAGCCTCTAGATTTGTTTTCATAGTCTTCAAATTGCACATTGTTTGGAGAAAACATTAAGGCAGGATGAGGAATAACATTTTTAATAATGGATTGAATTAATTGTTTTTATTTAAATTACATTTGAACTCTTTCCTCGTCAGTGTTTTTTTTTTTTTTTTTTATAGTTGCCAAAAATCATCAGCATTTTTGATCATATTCGCAGAATGGACTTTCACAGTGTTGCCAACTTAGTGACTTTGTTGCTAGATTTAGTGACTTTTCAGACCCCTTTAGCGACTTTTTTTCAACAAATGCTCTTTTTGCAGTGAGGAGTTTTTTCTGAGGTCTGAAACTTGCAAGAGTCTATATTTGTATAGTACAACAAGCTCTTATATGTCAAAAGATCAAAGATCATTATCGTTTCTCAGCATACAGCACTGAATCCAGTGTCAGAGTATTCCTGGAGCTCACAGGATTTTCGGAGTGTGTTTTGATGTATCTTGGCTTTCCAGGCCTGTCGTGGACAGCTGACTCATATTCTTTGTATTCATTACAGCAATGACAGAAATGAACTTTCCATTAAGAGCTGATATTTGCTCCCTTAAATTGATTTTTTTTTCTTTACACTGACTATTTAATGCAGTGAGTCATTGAATCATTCACTCAACTGATTCGTTCAAAAATGCAGATCCATTCAGGAACTAAACATTGCTGTGTTGCTCAGAGATGCGCAGTTGTTCTGCTCTGCCTTTGTTCAAAGTATTTTTGTTGGTAAAATGGAACCAAAATGGAATAACTTTTTGTGTATTGAGCTGTTGTATAAAACAAGTATCATATTTGCAGTTGTGCCGATATTTAGGGAAAACGGCACTTTTGCTTGTGTGATATCGCTCAACTACATCATATGATATAAATATGAAAGACAAAAACATCCTCAAAGGTATTTTTTCTCAGAATGTGTGTTTTTGTTCATGTTTTACAAAGTGAGAGACCTACTCGATGTCAGCTTCCACATCATTAAAACAACAATTACAGTATTATCAGCGTCTAACAGTGCTGAAGCACTGAAATGTTTCACTGTTTGCGTCTCTGCATTCGTCTGTGTTCAGAGCGACTGTCAGTCTGTGTGTTAGTGGAGGGGTTTACAGACTCTTTCTGCAGCTACACAGATACACCAGTAGGTGACTGTATGAGTGAGTCATTGAATTATTCACTCAACCGATTCGTTTAAAACACTGATTAATTGACAGCTCTTCATCAGGTTTGAAGTCTCAGTGTTTAGTGGATGTATGAAGTGTGTGTGGCAGAGGTTTTGTGAGTATTTAACCCAGACGTCTCCGCTGTCACATGACCGCTGGTGTGTTGTGTTCCTGCAGCTCTGCGGTTCACGCGGGTCAGTACAGCACTCCACTCCGGGCCGTGGTGATCGACTGTGACGATGATAAAGAGAACATCCCCAACGAGTCTGACTATGAGGACTTGCCCAGCATGTATAAGGATGAAGAGCAGGAGGAGGAGGATGACGACGATGACGACGATTCGCTCTTTACAAGTTAGTCTTGAAACCGTTTGTGTTTGCTGAGACGTTTTCTTTGTGTGTGTGTGTGTGTGTGTGTGTGTGTGTGTGTGTGTGTGTGTGTGCATGCGTGCGTGTGTGTGTGTGTGTGTGTGTGTTCAGGCACTCTGGCGCTGAAGATCCTGAGGAAGGATTCTCTGGCGGTGAAGCTGAGTAACAGACCGTCTCAGAGAGATCTGCAGGAGAAGAACATCTTACCTGTACAGACAGATGAGGAGCGACTGCAGTCCAGACAGCTCATCGGCACCAAACTCACACGGTACACTCTCTCTC